AGAGAGAAAAAAAAAAGGCGCAGACATTATAATCCGTAGGAGATACTTACGTATTTGTGGACTTCAAATAATTAATAAGCAGATGTTCCTTTAGATAAATTTACATTGAAACATTTTCTTCTGTGTAAGTTGGGGCATCGACACTTAATATGAAACCACGGGAGTACTCCAACTTCATCGACATCAACGTGAATAGTGTGTATATCGCTTGATCATTAATTATCATCCCCATTAACTCTGGAAACGGGGTCAAAAACAGACTTGGACTATTGCTGGTCGTAGCTACTATTTCTATATAATTAAATATTTAAATATATATTTACATACGTATATATGGGATCCGTGACAGTCATTAATTGGCACTGATGCCAGGCAAAACAGTCATTATATATTATATACGTATAAGACCTGGTATATGGCCCGGATTCTTAATTAAAATATTTTCAAATATTCTAGCAGTCAGTTTAGAAAAGCTGATCAAATTTTTGCTACCACTACCAAGTGCTGTACAGGCCAAGTAAATGAAAGGCTTCATTTAGTTATAGACACATATATATTATATATAGAGATGTATTTACATATTTTTGGCATTATAGATACATATGAAGGATTAAAGAACAATAAAAAAAAAAGAAGGAAAATTCCATAGGCTGGAAAACGGTGAAAAAATCAAAGTTTTCAATATAAGATCAACATTAAAACCATATTATGAGTTATACAGGCCTATTAAACGGAATTTGTAATAAAAGGCATATAAAGCGTTAACAAAAGCGTGTAATTTTTGTAAAATTATGAATAAACGTTAAATCATGTCAAGAAACAGCCTTTTAACACATTCATTTCAGAAGATAAAGCTGCGTTCGGGCAGGCAAAATATTTATAAACCCATATATTTAAAATATATTTGCCTGTCCCAGCACAGCAATATTTGACATCATTAAAAATAAACAACTTATTGGAAGGAACATTTACAGAGCGCCTAAATTACAATTAACATCTAATTACACAGAACAGGACGATAAAATATAAGAGATTTGGCCATGAAGTTGAGCAATCTCCTCTTCAATTAGCTGGAGACTGAAGAGGCACAAGTCCTCGTGTCTTGCCAGCCAGCTCTGTCAGATGTTGTTGCAGCAGCCGCTTGTTGAACTTTACCCTGTTGAGCATACAATTGGTGTCAGGAAGATATATAATAGCATCTGCGAGGATTTTACTTACTTGATGATAAGCGTAACATAACGCGACTTTTCTGCCTCGCTGATGAGCTCAGTTGGAAAGTTGGGCACGGACATTACAGTCTTTAGCCAAACAGCCATTTCGGCCGGATACTTTTTGTTCATGGATAGAAATACATCAGCAAATTTATCCACTTGCTGTCGCGGCGTCATATAGCCCACACAAATCATGACCGTGTGAAGGATCTGCTCACCCGAGGCTAGCACCACTTCGGTCATATGCGCATGATTCCTCGATTGCATCAGAAATTGTGTAACAAATTGTGTGCTTGCGCGTATTGGACCATTTTCGGGTAGCGTCATAGCGCGCTGTGCATAGTAAATAAGACGATCATAGGCAATCGTTTTGTCCTCCAACACCTGTGGCACCTTTTTAATGATTTGCGTAAGACAGGCAAAGAACATCTCCATAGTATCGGATATATTAGAGAAGTTCTCATGGGGCGTATTCTCAAACAATTTAAAACTGTGCTTCACAAACTCCAATAGCAGCTGCTGCATCAATGGCTTGCAGCTTTCCTCCGAGAAGAAAACGATTATGGCCTGAAATAGTTGACAGATGTTGTTTTAATCCTAACTAAATTAGGTATAGCATGCTCACGGTTTTGGTTATCTCTAGAGTGGGCGCACAACAGCGGGTTTGAAAACTCGCCACAATAAAATAGCACAAGTCCTGCAACATTGGCCTAAAGCTGCTTCCCAAATTAACAATGGCATGCTTTAAAGCGCTGCAGGCAGCCTGTGTAAATGTAGATAAAAGTTTACACGATTCCAACAATTAGGTTTGGTTTTTGCCGCGCACCTCTAGAACGTCTAGTTCCTCTACCCAAAGCTCGGCAATGAGCCGAAAAATTGGCATCGTCTTTTCCATAACCAGTAGTACGGGCTGCACATTGTGTACGTCCTTGAGCTCTTCATCCACATCTGTGTTAAGCGACGAAAACAGCGTCGAGATCATGTTAAGACGGAATATTGTGCGTATGCGCGCTGCAGGTGTCGTCTGCACAAAGACATATCATATAATAAATATAATCAGATATAGTTTAATTTACTTACGGCGCCCGCCTGGCAAATGGTCTGTAGCTCCTCGAAACAGGGACTGACTATGATGTCTAGATATTTGGGTATCTGCTCTGGTGGCAGCAAGCTCATCAGTTTACCTATGCTGAACATGAGACGCACCGAGTCCGAATTCTTCATGCGTCCTGCACTGAGCGTAGCTTGACAAGCATCAAGGAGCGGTTCAGCGTATGGCTTCAATTGCAGTTGGCAATCGCGGCACAGCTCCTTGAGGCCCAGCGTTGCCTGTGCCGACATTGTAGAGTTGAGGCCGCGCACCAGCAGATCAATAGCTGGCGGTATAAAAGTCGGATTATCCATTAGCCACGAACAATAGGAGCCAATTGTCTCGAGCGCAGTGCCGAGTAGCTTCTCGTTAAGCTTCTCATACGGTATCTCGGAGAGCACGCGCATTAGCTTGGGTATCTGGCGTGACTCCTCGCCGCCAAAATGCTCGGCCACCGACTGAAATGAGTAGATACAAGCCTCTAGTTTCGTCCAGTGTGTGGGATGTGTCTGCAGCTCGGCAATGGCCTCGTCTAGCATAGCGGCCAATATCTCCAATATGTAGTCGTCTAACACATCATAACAATACATCTGCAGGCGATAAGGCATTGGGAATTAGCATACTTAATTAACAGGATAAAAGTGTGTGCCTTACAAAAGTATCGGAAATATCCTGACGATAGCAACGAAAACATTCCAGATCATCAGAGTTCCACTTGTCAATGGAGCTCTCGTCGGGCTGTTCGGATTTACGAACCAAAACAGTGGTCAAGTGTGCGTAGAGCGGTTTTATATGCTCCCAGCACTTGCGCTTTTCCTCGTCTGGCATGGCAAAAACATCGCCTTGCAGCATATACCAAAAAGCCAGGGCCATGGTGCTGCATGATTCCTCTACAGGATATATTCCCGGCTTATCTGTGCACTGCAGTATCTCATGTACCATGCGGCACCAGATGGAAAATAACTCTGGATCTGTGGCCGTAATGCCGCTCAAAAACAAAGCCGAATGTCGTTCCACGGCAGACACAAATAGCATATAGATATGCACAATGATGTCTTCATTATCGTTATCCCGCCGCCATTCCCTTTGGGTGATGTCGCATAGTGAATCCAGAAACATTTTAATCAGCACAGCCGCCGTCTTGGGATAGTTGTGACAATCTGGCTGCACAATTATGCTGACCATTGCCTTGAGACAGGTCTCGGCGAGTTCATTTTCGTCGGCAGACATGCAGCCAACGCCAGAACGAATGCAGGGCCAGTAACACTTGTTCACTAGCTCCAACATCACGCTACAGATGCTGACGCAGCTCTCAATTGAGTAGCCAATGCTTCTATGAGTTTTACAATAGGCTTAGTATATAAATTTATAAATATATGATTTTGCACGCACCTGATCCAGACACTGACGCACTTCACCGCACGTGCCATATTGTTGTAGCCTTCGGTGTCCCATTCTGTGTTCATTTGCTGCTTCAAATAGGCCTCGACAGTCTGCAGCACGAGCGGCACACGCTTGCCAATCTCAGCGCGCAGTGTAACGCGTTTTACGGAGGTATGAATGACTTGCGCCTCCTCGGGTATGCCCTGCAGCACTTCCAGCATGATCCACAGCTGTACATCGGCGGTAACATTCGGAATACGTTGATTTTGAAACGTCTCGATTACCTCCTCAATGGCGCAAGGCCAATCCTCCAGCATGTGAACAATAAAAGCACTCAACTAAGTAATACAAATATGGATTAAGTATATCAAGTGATGTTCATACTGAGCCCTTACCGATAGACAAAGCCGATTAAGCACCAGTTTGGGTCCTCCTGCGAATTGCACAATCGTTTCCAAAATCTTTTGCTTCAGCTCCTCACGGTTTTCGGGTGGAACTTCGTGCCAATACTTCATCAGCTTTGAGTGTAGTGTAATTGCGCCAAAAAATTGCACTTCTTGACTCTGTGCAGTAAAAATATAATTTTTCGGGACCTAAGCAAAATTTTAAGGCCACCCACCTTGCCCAGCTGCATAAGCTGCCAGGAAAACTGCCAGGCCTGTGGGCTGGCCTCGGCCTTCGTCAGCCATTCGTGTGTGATTGCCTGTTCCTGCGATGTGGAACGGTAAAAGACAATCACTGCTTCCTCCAGTTGCTCAATACTGATGGTTTCGAAATCCATGCTCAACTACTTCTAATTTGCTACCTAAATAGCCCAAGTCCCAGCAGTTTAAGCAGGACTTGGCTTTTTCAATCACTTTTATTTGGATGCAAAAATGAGCTCTTAACGCCTAGGGATGGCCCAAGAATTTAATGCATCGACAATATCGATAAGTTGGCAAAGTATATACAACGATAATTCGTATTGACCGATAGCTTGCAGTGCATCGATTGTTTCAGATTTGAAACATGTGGACAGACATTTAGGAACTATTCGGTTTTTGCTTTAGATTTAGAAATTAATAAAAACATCTCAAATAACGGGATATTTATTCAAATTTTACATTTCAACTTGTTCGTAATTCAATTACTATATATGCTAATTTGACTGCACTTAAACAATTTTAAAACTCAAAAGTGAGCTTCCAGAGGCAGCACCTGAGTTTGAAGCAATGCTCTTTTATAAAACACTTGCTCTCCCGATCCAAATACAGAATGACTTGCTCATTTTTGCACACACTGGTTAGGGCTTTGCTAGCAAACTCCTCCGATTTCGATTCGACCATTGAGCGTTCCCATACACACCACTTATTTGTGCTTAGGCCATGGTTCTGCAGTTCGAGCAGATGAAAAATATAGCTAAAGAATATTTTTCATCTGCTCGAACTACAGCACCATGGCCTAAGCACAAATAAGTGGTGTGTATAAAAATGTCTCATCAGACGATCATAGTCCAAATGCGGCTCATCGATGGCATGGCTGATAACCAGTGCATATTTACGTTGTTCCGGCTTGATGGCAATGTAGGGAGCAGACGGGTTCGTAGTTGGGTCTGGACTTAACTCTGGTATAGATCTCTGATTAAGAGATTCTTTAAAGGGAATAGAAGCCTGTGGCGCCTCTTCGCCTACTGTAATGTTTTCAATTTGCCTGTCTGCAGTCAGTTTTGAGGCAGTCACGGAAGGTGCAACTGGTGGGTATTTCTGGCACAACAGGTATTTTGTCTTGGTGTGGCTTCGCCTGACTCATCGGAGTAGCTGTAGATTTACAGCTTTTATCCGTTTTCTCTGTTAAAGAGCAGGATCTACAAGAAATTAATTATAAAAAATGATCTGTGGCAATTTAAATATGAATTAGCAGTCACCTTTTTGGGGGAGAATCGCTCTTTGGTATCAATTTACTGTTGCTGTTATCTGTCGAATCTGATACAGATGTTTTCGAATGCCAAGAATTATCCGAGTCAATTATATTCATAACATATTGTGTCACATGATCGACATTTGACGGTTGGCTGAAGTTGTTCTGTTTATTACCTTCGTCCTGGTTATAAAACTTCAAGAAGCAGAAAAACTGGTTGTTCGTATATAGAGAAATGGCCGCTCCATTATTATTATCGCCGCCAATTTCGTGATTAAGGATCTTAGAGAGCTCATCAAAGTCGTTCAATGTGCGATCGAGTGTTTTTATTTCCTGTTTATCTCCCGGTATGTCTACAAAGGCTTGCAAATGGCGCTTTAAATCATAGACTGAGGCAGTGTCCTCCATGTTAAAAATGTGGGGAGCCTTAAAAAGCAGCGTTCAATGTAAATATGTACATTAATTTAATTTGCAAACTTACTTTATCATTTCCCTGATCCTCCAACTTTAGTTGTTTAACTACAGTTAAATTACAGCGTTGCCACTAATGGTCAATGGCTTAACGCAACGTAGTGTTGGAAAACGTGAACTAAAAATAAAATGCTTTAACAGCATTCGCATGTACTGTAAACAAACAATTTGTAAACAAATTGATAATTAAATATCATACATTAAAACAATGGCAGTGCCCAAGCGCTTGCTAATAATCGACAATGGTTCGTATGAATGCCGCGTGGGCTGGCACGACACAAAGCAGCCGGAATTGCGGTTTCGCAATGTACTGACAAAACCACGAAAAGATCGTAAGAAGGACAACCAACTGCCGGATGCCTCTGCGCCTGCAGCAACAGCAGAGGAGCTAAGAGCCAGCGCAGAAATCCAAATAGGCAATGACATAATTAATATTGAGGCGGTGCGGGCACATCTCAAATCACCCTTCGAGCGTAACGTGATTACCAATTGGAATCATCAGGAGCAAATTTTCGACTACATATTCAGCAAAATGGGCTTTGATGGAGAAGAGAGCATTGCGCATCCAATTGTGCTGACCGAAGCCTTGGCCAATCCAAATTCGTGTCGCCGCCAAATGAGCGAACTGCTCTTCGAGTGCTACGGCGTGCCTGCGCTCTCCTACGGCATTGATGCTCTTTATAGTTGGCAGCACCATCAACAGAAGCATAAGCTCGTAGCAGATGCACTTATTATATCCTTTGGCTATAGCACAACGCACGTGATTCCTGTGTTGGCTAACAAAATGCAGCTGGAGCACGTGCGTCGGCTGAATGTAGGTGGCTTTCACATCAATAATTATTTATTTCGGCTGATGCAAATGAAGTACCCGGTGCATCTAACTGCCATCTCCAGTCGCATCGAGAAACTGGTGCATGAACATTGTCACATTGCACTGGACTACAGGGAGGAGCTGCTCAAATGGGCACAACTGGATTACTACGAGGCCAACATCATGAAAATCCAACTGCCTTACAATCAGGTGACGGCGACCAATGCACTGCTAACCGTCGAGCAGAAGCAGGAGAAGCGTCGAGAGCTGGCCCTGCGGCTGCTGGATATTAAAAATCGTCGCGAGCGCGAGAAGCTGCAAGAGGATGAAGAGTACTTGCAGGTACTGCGCAAGCTGAGGCAGCTTTATGAGCAGGACAAACTGCAGAAATTCGAACGGGCGCTGCAACAACAGCAAATTGCCAATCTGGAGGAGCTTGACAAGCTGATGGGCACATTAACTTCGCGCATCAAACGCGTTAAGGAACGCGCCGTGGGGCAACCACGGCCCAGCAAACAGCAGGACAAGCTGGACAAGATGCCCAAACCGCCAGAGGGCGTGCCGCAGGCTGAATGGTTGTCGGAGCTGCGCAACAAGCGCGAGGAGTTGCTGCAACGCAAGCAGGCTCGCCAGCAACAGCGTCAGGAGCAGGCCAGGCGACACACGCATGCAGCCCAGGAGCGCATGCGCATTATCTCTACGCTGGCGCGCAGCGAGAAGCGACGCAAAGCCAACGGCGGCGATGAGGAGGACGATGGCTTTGGCATGAACGACAACGACTGGGATGTGTACAAGCGCATCAATCGCTACAATGACGACAGTGATTCGGATGCGGAAAACGAACAGATGCTCGAGTACGAGAAAATCCTGCAGCACTACGACGCCGGCTTCGATGATGCCAACAATGCAGCCATGCAGGCGCTCATTGCAGCCGAGAACTATCAGCTGCACTTTGGCGTGGAAGCCATACGCGTGCCGGAGATACTCTTTCAGCCAAGCATGATTGGTTGCACTGAAGCGGGCCTGGCGGAGCTGATTGCCTTTGTGCTGAAACTTTTCACGGCCGAGCAGCAGCAGCGCCTGGTGGATCATGTCTATTTAACGGGAAGCTGTGCGCAGTTTCGTGGCCTGAAGGAAAGATTGGCTAAAGAGCTGCTGGAACTGCGACCATTTCAGTCCAGCTTTGCCATCTACGAGTCGAATGATCCCACATTGAGCGCCTGGCTGGGTGCATGCCTGCAGGCCAATAGCAAGAACTTCAGCGGATCGCTGACAACGCGAAAGCTGTACCAGGAGTATGGCGGCGAGTACTTCAGGGAGCACAGTGCGAGCAATCTCTATTATCCCACACCAAAAGATTAAATTTTATTGTTAAATTTCCAAATAATGTCCACAATTAAAAGAGTAACTCGGTTACTTCATTGCCAAATAACAGATTCCAAGACTTGGGTACGGTCAGCTTGAAGCCTCCGTCGCCGCCGTCGCGCAACTGCAGGAAATCTTCGCACAGCTCGTTCAGCTCGCGCACAATCAGTGAGGCGTCTGTCGAGTTGTCACCCTCTAGCAGATAACGGAAGAGCAGCATGACCGGCACCTGCTTCTCCTCGAAAGCATTAAACAGCTGCAGCGCATTACCGCCGCCAAAGATATGCTCGCCCGTGTGCTCCTTCCACTTAACAAGCGACGCATTGCCCAGCTGTGCGGCGTGGGCTGCCTTAAAGTTGTCACTGGCCCGATATGCCCAAGGCGATTCCTCGATAACGCGTCGCTCAAAGCCAAAGCTGCCACTGAGAACGATCACACGGCGCGCCGCCTGCAGCAGCTCTACTAAGTTAATTTGAAAACTTTTTGTATGTCGCGCAATAAGTGGCGCTCGAAATTGTATGACCAATAGCTTATCCTCCGCGGATTCATAAAGCTCACAAGATGATACCCGCTCGTCCGGCTCGTGCTGGTAGGCTGAGGGTCCATATACCGGTATCAGGGCGGGATGTGACAGGCTGCCGATGCGTTTCAGTTTTTTTGATGCAATCAACAGGTCGCAGGCCAATTGTGCCGCATTGCCCACACAGATGCTGGGTACGATGACCGTGTAATTGGCCACATCGAGTGTTTTTGCCTTGCTTTTAAGAAATAACATGTTGCTGGAAAGGTTTACTGCTGTGTGGTCCAAAAATTGAAATTCAACAAAAATATGAAAGTAATGTCGCAGTGTTGTAAAGGGGCAGCGTATGTTATCGATATATATATATACATATGTAGGTTGCTATCGCTGCTGGTGCAACCCTGCCAAGTTGGTATTTGTTTTTGCGTTGCAAATGCGAATGCCCGGCTTTTAAAGATTTGGCGAGTAAACATGTCCAACTCGGTTAATATATCCGTGGAGACAACGTGCGAGAACCAAATACGTGAGATCGCCTACGATGGCACCGAGCTGTATCAACCGTGAGTGCGGCTATTGCCGCAGAAACCAAACAATAACGTATGCATTTTTCTCAACAAGTTGCTTCACAGACCGCCGACACTTTCCGAGAGTCTTGCAAAGTGCGCAGCTCGCATCGACTTCAGCAAAACTTCGCTGGAAGATCTGAAGAAGGAGGAGAAATCAGCCGCTGCTGCCGAAGATGACAACAAGGATGTCAATCAATTCCAGGAGAGCCTTTGGCCCTGGGATGCAGTACGCAATAAGCTGAAGGATGCATATACCGAAATCTGCGTGCTATCCGACGTCATATCTATTGCCAAGGACAAGCGTTACCTGGTGCTGGATCCGCTGCTGGAGGATGGCGATGACACCAAGCCCATTGTGCAGGTCTATAGTCGCAAGAAGGCCATCTCGCAGGCTGCCCAAGTGCTATTGAGCGGTGCCGAGCGACTACGCAATGCACACAGTGAGCAGCGCAGTCGCAACATTTCCGACTTTCATATTGAGCTGCTTCGTCTGCGTCAGAATTGGCGATTAAAGAAGGTATCCAATGGTGCCATCATTGGTGATCTAAGTTATCGCACAGCGGGCTCCAAGTTTGGGATGAGCGGCACTTTTGAAGTGACCAAAGCGGAGGATGCGCTCGACGAGGAGGGGGCCGGCAATAGTGCGAACGCCTCTACCCCTTCCAGTAGCAGTAGCAATAATGGCATGCAACCAAAAGCTAGTTCAGCGCTGCGCGTCATTGTGCCCGCTGAACTGCAGGGCGTAGCATATATTAAAGTCATCACCCAAAAGGATCAAGAAGATCTGTGCACCGCGCAGGTAACATTTGCTTACCCACCTGTTTTTATATACATTAATCCTTATTTGGAAATTTAATTTCAGGTAAATCTAATGGGCCATGGGCCAAACATTACCGCCCAGGTGGGCGTTTGGCAAAAGTCCTTGGAGTTTGCACAGAATGTGCTCTTCTGCAAGGAACTGTTCGCACAGTTGGCACGCGAGGCGATTCAGCTACAGGCGCCAATTCCACATGTGGTTATTGGTAATCAGATACGTGCCACGCTGCTGCCCAATATTCAGCTAATCATCTCGCTATGCCACTCGACCAGCTTCGATTCCAGCCAGCCGGCGCCTATTAATGATCATGATCATGTACTGGAGCATTCGCTGCATCAGCTGCTGCGTGAGGTGCATTATAAGAATTCCCATCATCCGTTTCCACATCCGGCGAGCGCTCCATTGGGTCCCAGCAAGAAACGCATGCTGGCGGGGCCTACTGCCGCGGACCGTGAGGCACTGCTGGACATGACAAAGACGCAAACAATATTGGAACAAATCATTGCCCAGGCTCAGCACATCTTTATGAGAAAGCGCACACAGTATGTGTTGGACACGCTCGCTCGCGATGTCAAGGATCCCCAAATTGTGTCGCACTGGAATGCAATGAACAGCCCCACGATGTCCTGTGTAAAGATTAATATTGTGACGCATGGCTATGATGCCATCGGACGTACTTCTCTGGTTATACATGTCAAGGAGCGTTCGCTGAAGTGCATCTGCCGCGATGGGCGCGTCATGAAGTTGTCGTATGAGCCGCAGGAGCTGCGCGATCTCATACTATGCCAAATAAATTCACATCAGATCAGCTGCCTAGTGAGCCTGGCGCGATACATGGCCTGGACGGTGCTCTCGAATAGCAATCATCTCGGAATTGGCAAGGTAGAGCCTCTCGGCAATGCCAGCTCCTGTCTGCTCGCCTCGCCGAACAGTGATCGCATGATTGCCGTGCAGATACGCTGCGATCCGCAAATCGATGTAAAGGTTTATATAGCGCGTAGTCCACGCCAAGATTTCTTTCCAAGTCCACTTGTGCCGGAGAAGTTCTGGGAGAATTTGGGTGGCAATTTCAAGGAGGTAAGCAACGCAACCATGTATACATATTTCATAATACAATTAACTAAGCTAACTGTCTTTATTGTTGCCTTTAATTCCAGGTGCGCTTTGATAAGATTGAGGGCAAAAGTTTCCTTAATAAAATGGAATTTCTGATGGCATCACTGACCAGCAACACGGCATGAAAGACCCACACACTTTAATTGTCTAGCATAGTATTTATAATTATAAAAAATGTTATTCAAGTAAGCACACAGTATGTAATCAAGCTCAGGCTCGATTAAAGATAGCAGCTCAGCGCTGTATGTTGTAGTACGCAAAGTTGTTCAAGGTGCGTGGCTGCTGGCTGTTCGGTGGCTGCTGTTGCGGCTGCAGGATGCTAAACGTATCCTCTAGACTGACCACATTGGCGCGATTTGTGCTCTGTGTGGGAATGTAAAAAGCTCTACCATATGTTTAACTAGTCATAGGTGCTCCAACTCACCCAACGCTCCAGATCGCAAAAGCTAATGTCGTAACGCTGTCCAGCTTCTGCAACGGATGGTTGCAGCATCGTTTGTGGCTGTGCCACACGCAAATATAGTCCACAGTTCGTCGAAAACAGCACTGGGACGCGTCGCGCTGGCGCTGAGCCGGCACCGTTGCCGGCGCCTGCAACCTGGCGATATGTTAGGCAATTGGGCAACGCAGCCGTCGGCTCTAAATCGTTGACCACGGGAGCAGCAGCCACGTTGCGCGCAAAACCCAGGCAACTGTAGAAACAGGACGCCACTTTGCAGCATGGACTTGTCTCAGTGGCCAGCAGACGGGATGCGATTACAAATCGATATAAAAATGCATTTTATTAACCGCTGATTTATTGATTTTATTGACGCAAACGACGCTATCAGCAAAGAGTTTGCCCGGATAGTGGCTAACCAAAGTAATTAGGTCCGCTGCACATTTGTGTGGGCTCGTTGCCCCGGCAACGTGCCTTGACACCTCAATTAGTCCGACATGGTGGATACGCCAATAGCTGTGCGTGTGCCACGCCAATTTGGTCTCTGCCGCCCAATTTAACTGCACGCATTTCTATACAAAATAATGCAATTAAACAGCAAAACAATCAAAAGATCATTTCCTATTGATCTGATCAGATATTAGCAATCTCTACTGCTCCAATTTTGCCAGCTGTTTCATTTATGTGGCATTCTATTCCAAATCTGTATAGGTTTTACTTTTATACAACATTCTAAATGAGTACGCAATTAACAACTTTCAATCTTAAGTAATTAAAAAATGCATATGAAATGTTTCTAAATTGCCTTTTAAAGAAAGTTGCTGTCTGTCTCCTTTCTCTTTATAATTGCTAAACAAATAAAGCCGGAATTTTGACGAAATTAGTCAAAATTGTTCAATTATCTTTGTCATGAAATGAAATAAAATTAATTCATATAAAGTAAACTTAAAGAAAAGGGTCAAGGATTGACGAATGATAACATTAATTATAAAAAATCATGAATTAATTACAAAATCCAATAATTGATGAATTTGAACAAAATTCAACACAAATTAAAGAAATATCAATAGTTTATTTTCCAGGCATAACTAAAATTGCCTTTAACTTAATAAATAGTAGAATTTGCACATATTTATATACATATATATATTTATTATTAGAAATTTTAGATATCGACCAGTCTTGACTGTTTTGATTCAGACGGTTTCCGCAAGATTCGTTAACGAAGTTTTCAAAGTGTATAGAACTGTACTTGGGAAATAACTCGGCGTTGCTCGACTCGAATTAATGTTGTTGTAATATTTTTGTTATTTTGTGTTGCCAGCTTTTCCTGTGGGTTCTTTCAAAATTCCTTTCTGGTCGAGCCAACTTATAGTCCCATACACGGAAAGCTAAGACAATTTTATATTGGAATACCAGTTTAAATGAAGTTGTAATTTATAGCTGTAAGTGAATAAAATGGTCAAATTGTAATTTGTATAAAGAAAGAAAACAACATTTTTGTACTTTTTACAAATATTGTTTTAAAACTTTATTTCATTTATATTAATATTGTTTTTGTTTTGTGTTGTGTACTTGTAAATTGTATAATTAACACTAAAATACTTATTTAAACATTTCTTTTGTTTATATTCAATCGGGATTTTTTCATTTTCTTTTTTTTTTCTGTTCATTTTGCAATTCATTTTTTTGTTTGCATCATTTTGTTGCTGTTTTTTTTTTTGTGGTTTGTTTTTTTTTTTTTAGTTTAAACGCCGCGCCATTACACACATACATACATTTATATAGATGCAGCAATTGAAACGCTCGAACTTAAAGCGATTGCAGATAATAAATTTAACTTAGATACTATTTAAGTGTTGCTTTCGCATTCGCATCATTTCTGGTGCGGCATCAATTCAATAATAATTCATGCAGCACACACGTGCCATCAATTTGTCACGCACATATTTTGAAATTCCGATACATTAAACATATACATACAATATTTAAAATAGAATTTTTTTTTCGTATTTTATTTTTTATATTATGTTATCAATTGATTTGGGTTTTGTATTTATAATGCAAAGAATTTCATTTTGATTTGCTTGTTTTAAGTTTAGTTTTTATCATTTTGTTTATGGGTTTTACGCTTATATATTAGCTTTCAAATCTAAATTCTACGGATTTCTTATTTTTTTGTTTTGTTTTTAATTTTAATTTTCTTTTTAATGTGAATGTGCTGTGCCGAGAAAAAGATGCAAGCACAGACATATATACTATTTTATTTATATATATATATATGCTACAAATATATATGTATATATACTTTATGCATAATATTAACATTAGCTGCGCAGCCACAGCCAACATTAACTAACTTTTGTACAGCTTTTTTGTTTTTTGTTTTTTTTTTTTTTTTTTTGTGATATTTTCGAAGTAAACTTTTTAGGTTAGGTTTGCTACATTTGTTGCCTGCTGCCTTTAAGTAATAGATAATTAATATATATATATTATATGCATATTAAACAGCTAATTCTTAGAGTTAAGCGCGTAGCTACTTTGCAATAAATATGTGCATAAAATGCGCCACAATCTGCACACACACGCACACACACACATATATATATATATATATATTAAATTATATATATATATATATATATTTATATGTATAATTATTTATTCGCTGCCCTATAGCACAATGTCGACATCGAAGAAATTTCAGAAATCGAAACAAGTGCACGAAAATGAATAAATCATATATATTGCTCGATCCGCCAGAGACCCGGAACTGCGGGGCTTGATGCAATTGAAGGAACTTAATAACAATTTGTTTTTGTTAAACACAAAATGTACAAATAAGAATAGAAGCATCAGTTAATTTACACAGTGAAGTTTGGCATGGTTTAAGAAGGAAATAAACACACTTAAAACATAACTAGAAACGCATGCAATTAAAAATTATTATAGAGAAATGAAAAAATAAAAACAACGACAACGACGACGACGACAAAGTGCGATTTTTACAATTTGTTTTAAAAAGAAAAAAAAAAATAAAACAAATTAAAACGTGCATTGTGAGAAAAGCCAACGCACACACACACACACACAACACGCCCACACATACACACACACACAGACACAAAAACAAGGAGTGCGCCAACAGAGCAGTTATGCCTATGTATGTGTGCTACAGGCTCTACATATACATGTTCAATAATGCTAACTATGCTCCCTAATATATTATAAATATTTCTTCTTCTTTTTCATTTTTTTTTTTTTTTTGTAACTTCAATTGAATTCCTGAAGCCTTTTCTTTCGTTTTTTTTTTTTTATCTGTTGCGCCTTTAAGACTTGCTTAACAAAAAATCTTGTTTGCCATCTCAATTTCTACAATACAATATTAATAATATTTATGTACTTAGTTTATGTATATATCTATATAAGTATATGCAAAAAATCACACAAACAGAAAATGTACATAGATGGTGTAGCTGTTAAATATTCCATAAGTATTTCTTTTTGTTTTGTTTTGTTTTGTTAATAATGCAAAGCGCAAGTAAAATTGTTACATCGCTAAAATTAGTAGACAGATTGTGTGTGTGTGTGTTCGAGTGTGTGTGTGTGTTTGCGAGTGTATATGGAGGCTACAGTTTTGACTTGTTGCAACTAAACTAATCAGAAGACTGCTAAACATATTGTTGTTGTTGTTGTTGCATTTAACATTACATTTTAAGTATATTTGCTTATTTTTGTTGCTTTGTGGTTTTCGTTCTCTGGCTCTTTGGCCATGCTCAGCCGCAAACCGCTGGCGTTGCCACTTGGTCGCATTTGCTTACCGTTTCGAACCGGTTCAACTAGCATTTGAATTTGAATGTGAGTTGTGGAATATTGTTGTTATGTTAATTTCTTTTTGCTTTTGCTTCGCTTATTATTTTCTGCTGTTCGGTTTACAATTTTACATATTTGCCATTGGCTTTCGTTTTTCTCTGCTTTTTCTTCTTCTTCTACTTCTTCTTGTTTTTAAACTATTACATATAATAATTACTTTACTTTACTTTATGCTTATGTACCAAGGATTTTTACTATCGTGTATTTAGAAATTGAGTTCCTTTGCAAAATGCGCGCCAGTGGGCAAAGTCGGATTGCCAGATTGGTTGTTGTTGTTGTTGTTGCTGCTGCTGTTGTTGTTGTTGTTGCTGTTGTTGTTGTTGCTACTGCCGCCACTTAGCAAATTGGAGGCTGCTGCGCCAAGCGCCGCAGCAGCTATGGATGCAGCCGTTGAGCTGCTCGTCCCTCCACCGGTGCTGTTGGATGCGGCAGCAGCAACGACAGCTGCCACTGCAGCTGCTACCGTATTGAGATGTTGCTGATGCTGCTGTTGCTGTTGCTGTTGCTGCTGATGATGGTGGTGATGATGATGATGTTGTTATGGCATGAAATAGTCCGGATGATCTGTGTCTTTCTCAAACCGTTTGGCCTCCTCGTGCATGCTCTCTTTGATCTTGAGTATGGCTGCCGATTCGGTTTGATCGTTCTCGCCGGGACCGCCAAAGCCGCCCAAATTGTAATCACCCATGCCGCTGCCGGAGTCTTCGCGCGGCGTACCCGGACCCCCGTTGGCTGGTGAGTTCTTCATGCCATCAAGACCGCTACCGTCGGGTCCTCCGCCACCACCATTAAGTACCGGTCCCATCGAGTTGGGACCACCACCCATGGGGCCCATGCCGCCGGGTCCGCCGCCACCACCACCACCGTCCGGGCCACCACCCATGGGAAATTCTGGTTTCATTAATGAGTACATGCTGTCGCCGGGTCCGCCGACGGGACCACCTTGCGTGTTATCTTGCGGCGAGGGCATGATGGGCGTTCCGGGGCCAGGCGGGCCATTCGAGCCGGGTCCGGGTCCGTAGTTACCCGGCGATGATGACGAGTACGCATTCATAGGCGCCGATGCATTTGGCTGCCATTGGGGCGGTCGACCACCTCCACCGCCCATGCCCATTGGGGGCATGCCGCCGGGTCCGCCAGGCGCGGGTCCGCGCATGCCGCCCGGACCGCCATAGCCCATTGGGCCCATAGTGGGACCACGCGGCGGATTCATGCGCGGATTCATAGGACCCATGCCGCCGCCTGGTCCCGGCCGCGTTGGATCCATGCTGTTAGGCATCATGGGCTGTCCTGGAGGGCCGTTGAATTCATTGCCCATGCCCTGCATGCGCACGCCGGGTCGTGGTCCGCCAGGATATCGCGGACCGCCCATGAAAGGCGGCTGACCAGGCATCATCTGCGAAGGTGGAGGCTGTGGACTCGAGGCGTGCGTTGGCGGCGACGGCCGCATTGTCGTA